TCGATCCCCTCTATTTTTATAAACAGACTTATCTCGAGTTTTTAAGTTTCTTTCGACCCCCTCTATTTTGATTAACAGATTTATCTCGAGTTTTTAAATTTATTTCAGTCCCCTCTATTGTTATAAACAGATTTATGACCTCGAGTTTTTAAGTTCATTTAAATCCCCTTTATTTTCGTGAACAGATTTATCTCGAGTTTTTAAGTTTATTTCAGTCCCTTCTATTGTCATAAACAGACTTATCTCGAGTTTTTAAGTTCATTTAAATCCCCTTTATTTTCATGAACAGATTTATCTCGAGTTTTTAAGTTTATTTCAATCCCCTTTATTTTCATGAACAGATTTATCTCGAGTTTTTAAGTTTATTTCAATCCCCTTTATTTTCATGAACAGACTTATCTCGAGTTTTTAAGTTTCTTTCGAACCTCTCTATTTTCATGAACAGATTTATCTCGAGTTTTTAAATTTATTTCAGTCCCCTCTATTGTCATAAACAGACTTATGACCTCGAGTCTTTGGGTTTATTTCAATTCCCTCTATTTTTATAACCATACTCATCTCGAGTTTTTAAGTCTATTTCAATCTCCTTTATTTCTATAAACAGATTTATCTCGAGTTTTTAAGTCTATTTCAATCTCCTTTATTTCTATAAACAGACTTATCTCGAGTTTTTAAGTCTATTTCAATCCCCTTTATTTCTATAAACAGACTTATCTCGAGTTTTTAAGTTTATTTCAATCCCCTTTATTTTTATAAACAGACTTATCTCGAGTTTTTAAGTTTAGAAAACCCCATTTATTTTCATAAACAGATTTATCTTGAGTTTTTAAGTTCATTTAAATCCCCTTTATTTTCATGAACAGACTTATCTCGAGTTTTTAAGTTTCTTTCGAACCTCTCTATTTTCATGAACAGATTTATCTCGAGTTTTTAAATTTATTTCAGTCCCCTCTATTGTCATAAACAGACTTATGACCTCGAGTCTTTGAGTTTATTTCAATTCCCTCTATTTTTATAAACATACTCATCTCGAGTTTTTAAGTCTATTTCAATCTCCTTTCTTTTTATAAACAGACTTATCTCGAGTTTTTAATTTTATTTCAATCCCCTTTCTTTTTATAAACAGACTTATCTCGAGTTTTTAAGTTTATTTCAATCCCCTTTAATTTTATAAGCAGACTTATCTCGAGTTTTTAAGTCTATTTCGATCCCCTCTATTTTTATAAACAGGCTTATCTCGAGTTTTTAAGTTTATTTCAATCCCCTTTATTTTTATAAACAGACTTATCTCGAGTTTTTAAGTTTATAAAACCCCATTTATTTTCATAAACAGACTTATCTCGAGTTTTTAAGTCTATTTCAATCTCCTCTACGTTAGTAAACAGACTTATCTCGATTCTATAAGCTTATTTTAATCCCCTCTATTTTTATAAACAGACTTATGACCTCGAGTCTTTAAGTTTATTTCAATCCCCTCTATTTTCATAAACATACTCATCTCTAGATTTTATATTTATTTTGATATCCTTTATTTTTATAAACAGACTTATCTCGAGTTTTTAAGTTTATTTCAATCCCATTTATTTTTATAAACAGACGTATCCCGAGGTTTTAAGTTTATTTCGATCCCCTTTTGATAAACAGATTGATCTCGAGTTTTTAAACTTATTTCAATCCCCTTTATTTTTATAAACAGATTTATCTCGAGTTTTTAAGTCTATTTCAATCCCCTTTATTTTTATAAACAGATCTATCCCGAGTTTTTAAATTTATTTCAATCCCCTCTATTTTTATAAACAGATTTATCTCGAGGTTTTAAGTTTATTTCAATCTCCTTTATTTTTATAAACAGACTTATCCCGAGGTTTTAAGTTTATTTCAATTCCCTCTATTTTGATAAACAGATTTATCTCGAGTTTTTAAGTCTATTTCAATCTCCTTTATTTCTATAAACAGATTTATCTCGAGGTTTTAAGTTTATTTCAATCCCCTTTATTTTTATAAACAGACTTATCTCGCGGTTTTAAGGTTATTTCAATCCCTTTTTATTTTTACTAACAGACCTATGACCTCGAGTTTATTTCGATCTCCTTTATATTTTTCTAAATCAGACTTATGACAGATTTCGAAAGCCGACATTTTCGTGCAATTTCCGAAACAAGACACATCAAGACATCACTTAAGATTTAGAATTTCCAGTAGAAGTCTACCGTTAAACCATCATGTTCCGGACTCTTGTTCCGAGTCATACCATCCAATACAGTTTTGATTTCTCCTTTTGTAGATGAACTTATACGCGTTTGATCATATTTTGACAAATGTTCATCAAAACATTGTAAAACAATCATCAACTTTAACACAGAAGTACAATTCTTATAAAAAAAATCAGTTTCTCCCATTATATGATTGCTATCACATAAAAGCTGTCCATTGTCATTTTCAAATTCTTGTAGAACTTTCGAGCTTTGTCTATGTTTGTCGAGCCTCAAAAATTATATAGTATTACGATCACTTTCATTTGCCCATCATTACATCATTACATATTTCATCTCCAAATATTTGTAATTCAGTCTTAATCTCTCGATTTTTTTCTAGTTAAACATTCATCATCAGAGAGTTCCTCAATTTTATAGAAATATCAGTCAGTCTGTTCTGCCTTTACAATAATTCTAATTCCTTTCTCGATGACGTGCTTTTCCAAACACTTTTAATTTGCTTTTAATTCTACACTTCAAATTATGCCACCAAATTAGAGGGTCATTGGTATAAAGTTCATCAAGCTTAGCAAACGATATCGTATTTGTAATTTTAGTAACAAAATCATTCTCGAGTAAAAAGTAATTATTCAGAACCCACAAACCTGGCCCCCTTTCTATTTCACTGAAGTCCAATCTCATCATAGCTTAAACTACATGGTCATTAAAAGAAGGATCATTAAGATATATTTTACTTACATTGCTAAATTGATGTCTTCCAATCAAAAAATAATCAATTCTACTTTGTGACAAACAATCGTTTTCTAATTTGTTTTAGAACAGAACAATCTCGATTTCTGTTTCTCAAAACATCACATAAATTGGAATCAGCCATAATATAATGAGGTTTAACTACACAGCAATCGTCACAATGTTTGTTCAAACCAGACCTATCCACCTGGCCAATTTGACATCATCATAGCCCTTCTGTAGTTGCTAACTTCGAAAAAGAGCCTTCTTTTCCGATTTGTATTATGGGCATATTCATTAGAACAAATAATCTTATCATCCATTTTATAAGTTACAATTAGTAGCCCGCCATCAATAACTACATTTTATTACATTTTTAGCAGTGAAATATAGGGACATCTCAAACTGATAAAAGTGATATTTTTCACTTTGAGGATTGACCAATCAAAGAACCCGATACATATCTACTCCAATTCTGTCGGAGGTTTGTTCACTGGGAACACAACCGTCAACTCCACCGTAAATTTCCATTTTCGTGGCAATCAGCAGGCGATGCAAGCCAGTAACTCTAACCCCGTTCTGAGAGTCTTGAGTGTGGACCAAGGCATTTTAAAAGAATCTGTGTCATTGATAGTGACAGCGACTAGGATGCCGCCATACTTTTTCATGTGCGGAAGAATTCATCAAACATTGTTTTTATTTTTGAAGTTAACGTTTAAACCATTTTATTGTGTATAAGTGACATCAATAAATTACAAAATCCATGTCCAGACACAAATAAACATTCATTATCATTTATTTGTGAGTCTATATATTTTTACTGATTTTTCATAAAATGGACTATTTTTTGCCAAAATATTAGCCACACGAGTGAAATATATTTGTTATTGCTGAAGACACTATTAAATATCATATATGTAAACAACTATATGATATTTGATATCATTTTTAAACAAAACCTCCTTCCGCCCATTATCACCGTTAGAACAAATAACCTTACAATTCTATTTACTGTTGATCTGTGTTATAAATGTATCAGACCAAACAAGTTCTGGTAACATCACAACATTTGCATTTTCATCTTCGAACATAGCAAAGATTTTGAGTACTTTATCTTCATCCTTCAGACCGCTACAGTTAAATGAACTTAACATTATGTAGATAAATGTACATAAATCTTTCCATTCTTTCGGCTTTTCTGTTTGAGACTTTCAAACGGATTTTCCTTTTTTATGAAAACCAGGAGAAGGCACCGATCTACATTTTCGTTTTGATCTCAGCAGAGAATCAAATGCAATCTCCTCAGCACCCATAAAGGTATCTCCATTTCTGGCAATACTATTCAGTGGTCGGGTCCTCAAGGTCAAGGCCATCGCTATTCTCCTTCTGTTCATAATTTATCTCACCTTAACCATCATCACTTCGATTGGAAACATCTTTCTCGTCATCTTCATCATTGTTGTCGTCGTCGTCGTCAATTTTGTTATCAAGAGTCTAGAGATGAAGTTTTACACACGAAAATGAATTTGTCGCAGATGTCTCTATACACGTGGTCTAATGAGTGATACAAGTCACGTGGTCTTATGAGTGATACAAGTCACGTGGTCTAATGAGTGATACAAGTCACGTGGTCTGACGAGTGATAAAAGTTACACATATTCTTTTGTCCAGATTTGAAACTGTCTCAGGTGTACAATGCCCCAACACCACAAATTTCTTCAATGGCATTGCTGACAGCCTTAGTGTAGGAAGCGTATTGTCCCCAATATTCATTAAAATTCATTACATACGAACAGTCCTTTCTGTAAATATACCAATAATTAAAATGATACAAATAGTCAGAGCTAGATCCCTTCCTACTGATGATTGGCGTCCATTTTTCTTTTCAGTCGTGAAATGCGTCGTCCACTCTGAATTCAAAACCGGAAGTATCCAACCCTGTTCTGTAACGATACAGATTTATCATAAAATTTATTTAACTCTACAAAATATCGACACGAGTATGATTTTATCTCTTTTTTTTTTCAGAAGAATAACAAGCGTTTTACCGACACTATGTCATGTTCACTTTTTTACAGAAGAATAACAAGCGTTTCACCGACACTGAAGTCATGTTCGCGTCAACGCTCAACATCTGTTACGCATCCTCATTTACATAAATGTCCTTTTGCTATGCACGATCCCAAAATCGCCTTCCCACCCGTTGATCAAGTCTCCAAGTCATTTGAAGAGATGCCAGGCCCACAAGGCATTTACAGCATACCCTATATAGGAACGGCTCTACAAATGTATCCATTCGGTAAGTGTATTCCGTAACTTCCTTTTATATGAATTTTATTCGGCTTATCATAAAAATAATTTTCAATCGCAAGGACAAGATTTGAAAAGATGATGATGACATGTTTTTGATACAGCTAAATACCGCCCGGAACGTTTCGATGAACTTTTGGAGACATGGCACAAGAAGTACGGTACAATTTGCAGAGCGCGGATAGCAAACGAATGGAATGTGTTTGTTTTTGATCCCCGTGACGTTGAGACAACATTCCGGGCTGACAACAAGTATCCTTTTCGTCGCTCACTGCCGCTGTTTGACAAATATAACAGCAGTCGGAATAGGGAACCCACTATTGGAGAACGGTAAGACTGATAGTTAGGATCTGGCTATTATTTCTGCTTGCTTCTTGAACAACTATGATAAGTTAAAAAATATACCGAAAAAAATCGATATTTCTACAACTCATTCAAAAGAGACATTAAACAAATGTTAAATGAAATGTTCTTCGGTTTGTCTTGCATGTTACATTTTCCACGTGTAAAATCCCCTGCGACAGGCATCGGTAAAGTGTTAGCTTTCTACAATTGTTTTAACTTAAAAAAAAAAAGAAAAAGAAAACGACATTCAATGATGATGGAGCAACTCAAAACCCGTTTTCACGAAATAGAATTTGGTTACTTTCTATTTAGGGAGAGAAACAACCTTCCTCGTCTAGACGAATACTCGAGATGTCCTATGGCGCAGCATTAATTCTGAGGTTTTATCAAAATTACTTTGTTTAGTTTCTGAACCTGCACCTATCTCTGCATGTTGTGGTGTGGTTTTACCTCTGTAATGAATTAAACGTCTTACATGCGACACACAAGATGTCGTCTTTCACTGTATCTACTCTTCGGATGGTATCTTCACACTAACTCAAGACCATACTCGCTGTTCTCTGTTAGACAAACGTAAAATTAATCTGTGGCATTTTTTTCTTTTCACATCAAAAGCAAAATGAATAAATAAATCCCATTTACACAGTAATGGCGAAAATTGGTGGGACATGCGTAGTCCAGCTCAGAAAGGTATCTGCCAGCTTAGAACCCTGTCCAAACTCATACCAAAGCTAAGTGGGATCGCAGACGACTTTGTTAACAATTGTAGAGAGGCAGGTGAACTCAAGAATCTGCCAGACCCATTTTTTGAGTACGCATCCGAAGGTAAGAAATACATCGGTGTGTTGGTAGGAGTGAATGTCAAGGGCTTAGTAAACTTTCCTAAACGTAATTTCTGATTACTTTGTGAAGCTGTTCAAGTTGCGGTTTAGTAATGGAATAACTTCAAGAAGGAGAAAACTGATGTGTATTTTGTAATACAGTTTAATATTTTGACACCATCTATTCCAGATAATGTAATTGTTGGTCTATATAATATAAACAAGCCTTTTGTTACAGTATGCATTAAAACACGTGATATCTAAGATTTATTTGTCCATGTCGCTCAAATTCTCCAACATTTATTTGTCATGTCTGCTGCAGGGGCGGGACTCCTATGCTTCAACGAAAGACTGGGTATAATTTCGTCCTCGGGGTCGCCGTCTAGTCGACAGTTCATGACCTTTGTTGATGATTACTTTGATTACTTCGGAGAACAACTTCTCGCGCCGATTCATTGGTTTAAGTGGATCCGAACCCCAGGATACCGTAAATATGAAAAAGCGTCGGATTTTTTAATGGGGTGAGTATTTAAGACAAAACATTATGTAACAATAATTGTAATGAAATATTGAAATGATGTCCTATGTAGTTTTATGGTTGTGGAATAATGTTTGTTTATGATGCAATGTATCTGTAAATTGTAAGATGTGGATTCAAATGGATAATGACATGTCAAGAAAATTGAATTTCATATCAAAAGAGAGAAAGACACAGGACATATGAATACTGTGAAGTACTGTGGGTATCGAGCATGGTACACATCTAACTTCACACACGGAAGTATAACCTTGTCAGGTCATTATGACGACAATATCCTTTATTTACGTCATGTACGTAAAGCTTTGTCTGTGGTCTCGGATAGACCCAACCCTCCCCGACTCATCAGCTGTGACAGGTTTTATCTGTAGTTGTTTACTACCCCCACTCATCAGCTGTGACAGATTTTATCTGTAGTTGTTAACTACCCCCACTCATCAGCTGTGACAGGTTTTATCTGTAGTTGTTTACTACCCCCACTCATCAGCTGTGACAGGTTTTATCTGTAGTTGTTTACTACCCCCACTCATCAGCTGTGACAGGTTTTATCTGTAGTTGTTTACTACCCCCACTCATCAGCTGTGACAGATTTTATCTGTAGTTGTTTGCTACCCCCACTCATCAGCTGTGACAGGTTTTATCTGTAGTTGTTTACTTCCCCCACTCATCAGCTGTGACAGGTTTTATTTGTAGTTGTTAACTACCCCCACTCATCAGCTGTGACAGGTTATATCTGTAGTTGTTTACTACCCCCACTCATCAGCTGTGACAGGTTATATCTGTACTTGTTTACTACCCCCACTCATCAGCTGTGACAGGTTTTATTTGTAGTTGTTTACTACCCCCACTCATCAGCTGTGACAGGTTTTATTTGTAGTTGTTTACTACCCCCACTCATCAGCTGTGACAGGTTTTATTTGTAGTTGTTTACTACCCCCACTCATCAGCTGTGACAGATTTTATCTGTAGTTGTTTACTACCCCCACTCATCAGCTGTGACAGATTTTATCTGTAGTTGTTTACTACCCCCACTCATCAGCTGTGACAGGTTTTATCTGTAGTTGTTAACTACCCCCACTCATCAGCTGTGACAGGTTTTAGCTGTAGTTGTTTACTACCCCCACTCATCAGCTGTGACAGGTTTTATCTGTAGTTGTTTACTACCCCCACTCATCAGCTGTGACAGGTTTTATTTGTAGTTGTTTACTACCCCCACTCATCAGCTGTGACAGGTTTTATTTGTAGTTGTTTACTACCCCCACTCATCAGCTGTGACAGGTTTCATCTGTAGTTGTTTACTACCCCCACTCATCAGCTGTGACAGGTTTTAGCTGTAGTTGTTAACTACCCCCACTCATCAGCTGTGACAGGTTTTATTTGTAGTTGTTAACTACCCCCACTCATCAGCTGTGACAGGTTTTATCTGAAGTTGTTAACTACCCCCACTCATCAGCTGTGACAGGTTTTATTTGTAGTTGTTAACTACCCCCACTCATCAGCTGTGACAGGTTTTATTTGTAGTTGTTAACTACCCCCACTCATCAGCTGTGACAGGTTTTATCTGAAGCTGTTTACTTCCCCCACTCATCAGCTGTGACAGATTTTATCTGAAGCTGTGACAGGTTATTGAGTTAAATATACACGTTTAACCTTCTGATGCCCTGTCACCCGGCTCTATTATCCGTCTGATGCCCTGTCACCCGTCTCTACTATCTGTCTGATGCCCTGTCACCCGTCTCTATTATCTGTCTGATGCCCTGTCACCCGTCTCTATTATTCGTCTGATGCCCTGTCACCCGTCTCTATTATTCGTCTGATGCCCTGTCACCCGTCTCTATTATTCGTCTGATGCCCTGTCACCCGTCTCTATTATCCATCTGATGCCCTGTCACCCGTCTCTATTATCTGTCTGATGCCCTGTCACCCGTCTCTATTATTCGTCTGATGCCCTGTCACCCGTCTCTACTATCTGTCTGATGCCCTGTCACCCGTCTCTATTATTCGTCTGATGCCCTGTCACCCGGCTCTATTATCCGTCTGATGCCCTGTCACCCGGCTCTATTATCCGTCTGATGCCCTGTCACCCGTCTCTATTATCTGTCTGATGCCCTGTCACCCGTCTCTATTATTCGTCTGATGCCCTGTCACCCGTCTCTATTATCTGTCTGATGCCCTGTCACCCGTCTCTATTATTCGTCTGATGCCCTGTCACCCGTCTCTATTATCTGTCTGATGCCCTGTCACCCGTCTCTATTATCCGTCTGATGCCCTGTCACCCGTCTCTATTATTCGTCTGATGCCCTGTCACCCGGCTCTATTATCCGTCTGATGCCCTGTCACCCGGCTCTATTATCCGTCTGATGCCCTGTCACCCGTCTCTATTATCTGTCTGATGCCCTGTCACCCGTCTCTATTATACGTCTGAAGCCCTGTCACCCGTCACAACTATCTGTCTGATGCCCTGTCACCCGTCTCTATTATTCGTCTGATGCCCTGTCACCCGTCTCTACTATCTGTCTGATGCCCTGTCACCCGTCTCTATTATTCGTCTGATGCCCTGTCACCCGTCTCTACTATCTGCCTGATGCCCTGTCACCCGGCTCTATTATCCGTCTGATGCCCTGTCACCCGTCTCTATTATCTGTCTGATGCCCTGTCACCCGTCTCTATTATTCGTCTGATGCCCTGTCACCCGTCTCTACTATCTGTCTGATGCCCTGTCACCCGTCTCTACTATCTGTCTGATGCCCTGTCACCCGTCTCTATTATTCGTCTGATGCCCTGTCACCCGTTTCTATTATTCGTCTGATGCCCTGTCACCCGTCTCTATTATTCGTCTGATGCCCTGTCACCCGTCTCTATTATCTGTCTGATGCCCTGTCACCCGTTTCTATTATTCGTCTGATGCCCTGTCACCCGTCTCTACTATCCGTCTGATGCCCTGTCACCCGTCTCTATTATCCGTCTGATGCCCTGTCACCCGTCTCTACTATCTGCCTGATGCCCTGTCACCCGTCTCTATTATCTGTCTGATGCCCTGTCACCCGTCTCTATTATCCGTCTGATGCCCTGTCACCCGGCTCTATTATCCGTCTGATGCCCTGTCACCCGTCTCTATTATTTGTCTGATGCCCTGTCACCCGTCTCTATTATTCGTCTGATGCCCTGTCACCCGTCTCTACTATCTGTCTGATCCCCTGTCACCCGTCTCTATTATTTGTCTGATGCCCTGTCACCCGTCTCTATTATTCGTCTGATGCCCTGTCACCCGTCTCTATTATTCGTCTGATGCCCTGTCACCCGTCTCTATTATCCGTCCAACGTGATTATAATGTTTCTGTTCATAAAGATTCACAGACAAACGTACGGAAACAGCAGTTGATAATTTGAAGAATCTACCAGACCTGGAGGAATTTAATCTACTTCACTTTCTGCTTACTACACCGGGTATGACACCAGCGAAAGTTTCATCTCTTTTGGTCGATTTCTTCAGAGGCGGGATCGATTCTGTAAGATCTTGTTTTAACTGTTGCTAGTATAATAAATTCACTTCATCAGTACACAAATCATTACAGTACACGTAGTTTTGATAGGAATGTCTTTATCTTACTGCGTTTTAATTATTTTGTTCAATTATATCAATATAAAGAATACAATTACTATTATATCAGCACTATAAAGTAATCAAAGAATGTTTATATAAAAAAAAATGAACCAACATGTCATTTACGGTAACACTGTTCACGCCAAATAAATGTATTATTTGATGGCGATGTACCTCGAATCATACTTAGTATTTTGATCAAGTGATTGTTATCTAACATACTTATAATCAAATCCTGAAATTAGTTATTTTTATTTAATTCTGGTGCAAGCGACTACCCTATGAGGTCATCGACATTTAAACACCACAAATTGTTCCTAGAAAAAATGTGCATGATGCAGTTTAATTTCTTATTTGGCCCTTCTGTGTCTTCATTAAAGATTACTGTTCATCTGTGTGTAATTTCTGTTATCTTTAGACGGCAAATGCCATAACATTCCTGCTTTACCACCTCGCAAAATATCCTGATATACAAGAAAAGTTGCATCAGGAGTTATCTTCCCATATACCGACAGAGGGCGCTATCAGTCCGGATGGACTCAAGGATCTGCATTATCTCAAGGCTTGTCTAAAAGAATCTTTCAGGTACTTTATTTTAACAATACTTTTTACTGTGATCGATCGTATGTCATATTCTTCTTTCACTACCAAACCTACTGAACATGTACATCAAAATAATTTCTGTTTATATTGAAGTATAATATCGTATATTACAAATAATTTTACTGTCAATTATAATAAACCATATTGTGAATTATAACAAATTTTATTGTGAATTATATCAATTTGTTTGTAAATTATAACAAATTTTCTTGTAAGTTTTAACAGTTTTTTTGTTAATTACAATAAATTTAATTGTAAATTATTACTAGTTGAACTGTAATGACTGTTTTGATCAGGCACAATCGCAATCGTGTACTCACTTTTATCCCAACTGTGTTAAACTACCTCACATATACAGAACAAACATCATAAAGTACTAGAATCGGCGATATGATGTTGTTATAGAAATATCAGTTTGTTTTCAGATTCGTCTACCCAGTAATAGTGGGGACTCAGAGAGTATTAGACAATGATGTGGCACTGTCTACGTACGAGATTCCGGCGGGGGTAGGTATACTGTAGAGATTCTGGCGGGGATAGGTATACTGTAGGTATACTGTAGAGATTCCGGCCGGGGTAGGTATACTGTAGAGATCTCGGCGGGGGTAGGTATACTGTAGGTATACTGTAGAGATTCCGGCCGGGGTAGGTATACTGTAGAGATTCCGGCGGGTGTAGATATACTGTAGAGATTCCGGCGGGTGCAGGTATACTGTAGAGATCTCGGTGGGGTAGGTATACTTTAGAGAATCCGGCGGGGGTAGGTATACTGTAGGTATAGTGTAGAGATTCCGGCCGGGGTAGGTATACTGTAGAGATCCCGGCGGGTGTAGGTATACTGTAGAGATTCCGGCGGGGGTAGGCATACTGTAGAGATTCCGGCGGGGATAGGTATACTGTAGAGATCCTGGCGGGTGTAGGTATACTGTAGAGATTCCGGCGGGGGTAGGTATACTTTAGAGATCCCGGCTGGGATAGGTATACTTTAGAGAATCCGGCGGGGGTAGGTATCCTGTAGAGATCCCGGCGGGGTAGGTATACTGTAGAGATCCCTTCGGGGATAGGTATACTTTAGAGAATCCGGTGGGGGTAGGTATACTGTAGAGATCCCGGCGGGGTTAGGTATACTGTAGGTATACTGTAGAGATCCCGGCGGGGGTAGGTATACTTTCGAGATCCCGGCGGGTGCAGGTATACTGTAGAGATCTCGGTGGGGTAGGTATACTTTAGAGAATCCGGCGGGGGTAGGTATACTGTAGGTATAGTGTAGAGATTCCGGCCGGGGTAGGTATACTGTAGAGATCCCGGCGGGTGTAGGTATACTGTAGAGATTCCGGCGGGGGTAGGCATACTGTAGAGATTCCGGCGGGGATAGGTATACTGTAGAGATCCTGGCGGGTGTAGGTATACTGTAGAGATTCCGGCGGGGGTAGATATACTTTAGAGATCCCGGCTGGGATAGGTATACTGTAGAGATCCCTTCGGGGATAGGTATACTTTAGAGAATCCGGTGGGGGTAGGTATACTGTAGAGATCCCGGCGGGGGTAGGTATACAGTAGGTATAGTGTAGAGATCCCGGCGGGGGTAGGTATACTGTATGTATACTGTAGATATTCCGGCGGGGGTAGGTATACTGTAGAGATCTCGGTGGGGTAGGTATACTTTAGAGAATCCGGCGGGGATAGGTATACTTTCGAGATCCCGGCGGAGAAAGAAACACTGTAGAGATTCCGACGGGTGCAGGTATACTGTAGAGATCTCGGTGGGGTAGGTATACTTTAGAGAATCCGGCGGGGGTAGGTATACTTTCGAGATCCCGGCGGAGAAAGAAACACTGTAGAGATTCGGGCGGGGGTAGGTATACTGTAGGTATACTGTAGGTATGCTGTAGAGATTTCGGCCGAGGTAGGTATACTGTAGAAATTCCGGTTGGGGTAAGATCATATTGATAACATAGCAAATAACACTATGAAAAAATATCGAAGTAGCGTTATTGTTTAATCTCGCAAACTTCGGTGCATGTGATATGATCGGTTAGAATAAACATTACTCTTTGTATTTGAATATATTTCTATGTCTATTTCAATGCAACAACACCATTATATCATTGTAATGACTCATCGTTTATTTCCTGTAAACAATTTCTTTTGATTTATTTACTTTTTTTTTCATTTTAATTTATTTTTCGTTTTATCAAAAGTTTTAAATGATCATTTTTCGAGGGTCTATTTTGCCTTTCAGACAACAATAAATTTGTGTATATCTTCTATCTGCAAAAACAAGAATTATTTTCGGAATCCGGACAAATTCTGTCCTGAACGTTGGCTAAGGAGCAATCCGAACCGTGATAATTCCCATCCATTCGCATTTCTTCCGTTTGGATATGGAACACGAAATTGTGTGGGACAGAGATTCGCAGAGATGGAAATCTACGTAAGTGTATCAAAGGTGAGTGTAATATATTTATTATCGCTGTATTAGTTATACAGAGAATGTAAGGACGAGGAAGCCTTGAGTCAATACATTGTTCGTCATCACCTAATGAGATGAAGCTGACTTACCTCATACTATCAGGCGGTGGGTGGCCGAGAATTAATGAACGTTTATGGTATACCACGATTGTGACATACATAATCATGCACGAACTTTCGATAATTAACGCCGGACATTGACTGAACGATGTGACAATATCTCGTATCAATTACTAACCGTTGACCCATCGCTGACCATGGTAGTCTATCTAATGACCACTGATATGCGTCATTTTTCCGTAAGCAAGAATTGCTTTAAAGGTCATCGCTGTCGTTAACGACTGGTCGTTGTGTGGGTGACAAATTTACCATCAGGTAAACGTCTCTAAATGCTTGGTTAGAAGGCTGAAAAAGTGGAAAATTTTACTCTGTACCGCTGTTAAACAAAGACTTCCAAAGCAATATCGACTTATCTCAGGTGACTCAACAAATCTACCGCCAGGAGATAATTATGAACAGCAATTTTCACCTAAATCTGGTGGAATCTACACGAGCTTTAACAACTGGGCCTAAATATGTGTCTATTACTGTTTATTAACGTCTCTCTAAACAGAGAAAACTGATCTCGTTTAGAATATATTCTATTTCTTTGTGTGATATGAAGCTGGATATGTTTTCAGCTTTTAAGCTCGTTAGTTTGCCTCATTTGAGGACGTGATATTACTTACTTTGATTGACCAATGTTTTAATGGCGGGTGTCGTCGATGAAGCAGAAGATGCTCACTCTTCCGGAACACCTGGTCTTATCCTCCCCGTACTTCAGGAGTCTCCATGTAAATTTTTCTTTTGTTCACATTTTGCTTTAATTGGATGCCGGTTTGAATTCTGATTATGTTGACATGTCTGTTTGTTTGTTTTTAAGCTAAACGTACCCAGTACGAATAGCCTATTGCTACGGCCTTTCAGACAAAATTTACCGATCCTGGCCTTCTCATTGGCTGAAATATCGGAAAGAGTTAGAGCCCTCTAGCGGCAATTTTCTGCGTAAATAATGCCGCGATCTTTCAATCGCTATTTTAAAAGCATCCAAAATTAGTTTATTTTTTAATAACAATACGATTACTATACATTTAAAAAAGAAGCACAGTGTGGTTGAACTATTGATAAATTTTGAACAATATATTTTACGGAATTCCTGTCATGACATAAGCGTATAGAACACTGTACGTGCGCGTTGGCGCCATGATAAGAAGTTAGTCTGGGGTCTTGGTTTGAATTATCAATTAACAGCGCTTATAAACAAACAAAACTTACAAACAGAACATCAATTTTGCTTTAATCATTGTCGTTGTGGCAAGATCGTCTTAATATATAACATCACTTTACCTCATTAGACGTCACAAAATTGGACTGTTCGTCCCACGCGCACACCCGCCGATATGACACTTTTTCAGGTTTTTCGCACCCACCGCCATGACACTTTTTCAAGTTTTTGAAGATAAAAAGTTTGCGCTTCGTAGGCAAGGTACATTTGGTGCTCATGATTTATGAATAATATATATTTAATACTTTGATCATGATGTTGACTTTGTTATAACATATACTTTTTACCTTTTAGTTTTATTTGATGAAGGTTGATTGTGCTGATTTCTCAAGGATTGTTAATATGTATCAAAGTTCCTTGAAATGAAAATATTCCTTCAAAGAAAGCGCTTATTAAAAACACCAAAATATTCAGATTTATAATAATCAATTAACTAGAACGAAATATTTCCATAACATATTTATTCATTTAGCGTGTCGTGGTGATATTATCTAATGCTTTGGAGATCAGAAATAGTAGTAGCTATAGTGAAAATATTGTAAATGTTGTATATATATGGAAGTCTGGTTTAATCTCATAGAACTATGTCTTTATAGATGTAATTACTGGAAGAAAAGTCTAACCATGATACTTCAAGGAAGATAGGCATGTAAATACATTTAATGTTATTACTTGCACTTTAATCTATCTGAAATACTGTGTACACCTTATCTACTTTCCTCAACTACAAATATAATTATAATAAGTAAGGACTATTACTTTGCAATACATTCAAAATAAAGAAGTAGGTATAAAGTCCTTTCGATTTGTTTAAAACCTCATATTGATAGCATAGTAATTGCAACATCTTGGGTATTTCAAAGATTTTATTTAGTCAGCTTCATCATAGAGCTATTTATCATTTGGCTTGTTGGCGATAAATATATGGTTGTGTGTATTTTGTTATTTTTTTTACCTATTTTGATTTATTCACATTATTGTCGTCAAATTTGAAATAAGAATTAGAGAAGCTATAAAATCGCTTAAAATTAAGGAAAATAGCCTCTGGTTCTCTTATTTTAGTCATTTTTGCATTCCAATGTGTAGGAGTATGGGGAAAATAATATAGCTTAGCGGTTATTTGTGAACATTTTTCAATACGTTTAGCCTCTCAGTACTTTGAGTACTTTGATTTGTCCTTGTAAACAATCTGTGACCCGTTCATCAGCAATCAGACCGCTATACTTTGTATACGGTACATTGTGTATTTATGAGATAACGTGACCTTTACATCCGGGTCTTCTATAACAAGGTATACCCTACTTGCAGATACACCTTCCATATCTCTTTTGTTATGTATTAAAAGGTGCTATTAACTTATGTGTTTTTGTAAAATCTTCGATATGGCAGTTGGTAGACACTGCTGGTGGACTTCTTATTGTTTGGAATAAGACACGGTTCAGTTCATATAATCAAGTATAGGAAGTTTGGGGATTATATTGATGTTTGGGGATTATATTGATGTTTGGGGATTGATGTTTGGGGATTATATTGATGCTTGGGGATTATATTGATGTTTGGGGATTACATTGATGTTTGGGGATTGATGTTTGGGGATTATATTGATGTTTGGGGATTATATTGATGTTTGGGGATTGATGTTTGGGGATTATATTGATGTTTGGGGATTATATTGATGTTTGGGGATTATATTGATGTTTGGGGATTGATGTTTGGGGATTATATTGATGTTTGGGGATTGATGTTTGGGGATTATATTGATGTTTGGGGATTATATTGATGTTTGGGGATTGATGTTTGGGGATTATATTGATGTTTGGGGATTATTATATTGATGTTTGGGGATTATATTGATGTTTGGGGATTGATGTTTGGGGATTATATTGATGTTTGGGGATTATATTGATGTTTGGGGATTGATGTTTGGGGATTATATTGATGTTTGGGGATTATATTGATGTTTGGGGATTGATGTTTGGGGATTATATTGATGTTTGGGGATTGATGTTTGGGGATTATATTGATGTTTGGGGATTATATTGATGTTTGGGGATTATATTGATGTTTGGGGATTATATTGATGTTTGGGGATTGATGTTTGGGGATTATATTGATGTTTGGGGATTGATGTTTGGGGATTATATTGATGTTTGGGGATTATATTGATGTTTGGGGATTATATTGATGTTTGGGGATTGATGTTTGGGGATTATATTGATGTTTGGGGAGTATATTGATGTTTGGGGATTGATGTTTGGGGATTATATTGATGTTTGGGGATTGATGTTTGGGGATTGATGCTTGGGGATTGATGTTTGGGGATTATATTGATGTTTGGGATGTTTGGGGATTATATTGATGTTTGGGGATTGATGTTTGGGGATTGATGTTTGGGGATTATATTGATGTTTGGGGATTGATGTTTGGGGATTATATTGATGTTTGGGGATTGATGTTTGGGGATTATATTGATGTTTGGGGATTGTTCTCCTTTCATTTGTTTTATGACGTTTTATTTTGACTAATTTAACCACTATAATTCAGGCCCTGAACAACTCTCCGTTTCATTTTCTGCATTATCTGCTGTGTCTGTTCCAAAATCTGAATGGTACTATCTACTTGTGTATCGTTGTTCTACTTGTTTTCTTTGCAGATTGTAACAAACTTTAGGATATCCTTGCCAAAGGGACTGGGTGATGTACCATTTGTCTATTCAACGTTCGCAACTCCCAAAGATAAATTTACGCTAAATTTGGAGCCACGATGATCCAAGGTTTCCCCTGTCTGCCAATATCAGCTATGTGGGAGGATTTAGGTCGAATGAAGTAAACTGTTGTCCGGCTAAAGTTATGTCCTGGTTTGTTACCAGGATATTGTTATGATGGCTACAGTAACCTTACTTCAACATATTCTGTGATATTTAGCTCAGTTTGATGTTTAGAAGCAGCAGCAATGTTACAAGGAATGATCATAATACTCGCAACAAGTACATTCTGTGATTCATAGCTGTAGACAGGACTTTCCCGAGTACATTCTGTGATACATAGCTGTATACAGGACTTTCCCGAGTACATTCTGTGATACATAGCTGTAGACAGGACTTTCCCGAGTACATTCTGTGATACATAGCTGTATACAGGACTTTCCCGAGTACATTCTGTGATACATAGCTGTATACAGGACTTTCCCTAGTACATTCTGTGATACATAGCTGTAGACAGGACTTTCCCGAGTTTATTCTGTGATACATAGCTGTAGACAGGACTTTCCCGGGTACATTCTGTGATACATAATAGTGGAAAACATTTCACCACCAACCCCCGACCCCCAATATTCGTAGTGTTAGGATACACTTTTCTGGATACGTAGCTCTAGAGGGCCGGTTTTTAAACGTCGCATTGGAAGGTGTTATCCCGAGACTAACCTGTTTCTACGTAACACTACACTATAGAATTTTGTATTTTATAACGGTTGAAATGACCTTCAAAAATTAAATATAGCTATTTTAGTTTTTATAAAACTTATTTATAAGATAATTTAATATGTATTTACTGTAGTTTATGACTTTCCTGTACTGTAATTGCTAATAAGAACGTTTTTCACCCCTAAGGTTTTATATGTATTTACTGTAGTTTATGACTTTCCTGTACTGTAATTGCTAATAAGAACGTTTTTCACCCCTAAGGTTTTATATGTATTTACTGTAGTTTATGACTTTCCTGTACTGTAATTGCTAATAAGAACGTTTTTCACCCCTAAGGTTTTATATGTATTTACTGTAGTTTATGACTTTCCTGTACTGTAATTGCTAATAAGAACGTTTTTCACCCCTAAGGTTTTATATGTATTTAGTTGTATTGTATATTTTTATTGATATATGTTTACAAATGTCTCGCTGGCGAGAAACTGTTAAAATAATATAAATTTTAGTGAAATGGGGTTAAAAAGATGAATTAAAATACATCACAAATGACATCGTATCAATATCTTCTTACTTCAATGAATGCACATGACCTGACAAGTAATTTTAAGGTATTATTAATATGTCTTTTTGTCCAAGGCATGCTTATTGTAATTCATTAGGATTTGAACTTTGTCAAGCAAATTAAGTGAATGTAACCTTTTCTGATTATAGGTATTTTTTTTATTCACCATTTGATTGCAACAGCAAATTTAATCGCTATGGACTTAGATCAGGGTCTCTGCTTACCTCATTGTGTAGTGAACAGCCATCCTAAGGCGGGCCCCCTTACATCAAGTGGAGACTACCTCACCGAGAAACGTAACGGTACCCGTTGGGTGCAATACAGGGCAACTTTGGTAACTTGTCAATGACACAATCATTTCTTGGTTTTTCTGAGAAACATTAACCTTTATGGGTACATAGTGTCGAACCATCCATCTCGGATCTTCACTCGAGATTAAATAGATCAGGGCTCCACCGACCGAGCAATGATGGATTCTGTTTTTAGCTCAGGATAGTAAATTTTCGCAATTCCTTGACCATACTGGTCAAATATAAAGATTCTAAACCTACTTCTCAATCACGAGAGGATAATTGAATATTTCAACAAAACTTTCCCTTGTGATATTGAATTAAGATCATTTCTGTTCCCGAATATCTTCGGGCATTATCACAGAAAGAATTTGGCCAAATATCTGGTTTCTTTGCCTTTTCATTCGTCAAAAGGATTAGTTTGATTTTTTTCCAAATTCTATCCCCATGACCTTCGAAATTATGTCGGAATGTCCTTGCAACATGCTGGTCGAATTCCAAGGCTCTCTTGGTCTTTCACTTAGCGAGAAGTCGAATGCGTGTTTATCAGTCATAAATCACGTGACCTTGGAAAAGGGCCAGGATAACATCAAATACGGTCATGCCTAATCCCTGGAACTGACTATCGTGATTTTAGAACATTAGGATCATCTGATTAACTGAGTATTAACAGATTTTTACTTTTCCATGTACAGCTTTCGAACAAGTTGTTTGACAAGCGTGATAATTTCGATTAATCTATTGCGAATTTCCCATTTCTTGATACCAACATAGCTCCATCCCCGGTGTTTAAATGTCGCAATTGATTCGATATTCAATGGCCTGTTCTCAATATCACGATTTTTGTACTTGATGTCGTCAACTGAGAAACAAACTCATAACACCGGGTTCGTCATAGCGACCCCATGGGGAATATTATATTTTTTTGTGCAATAGAAAGCTGGACGTGTTTGTCTATTGATTCCTTTGTTGTATAACGTGAGCTCATTTGAGAACGTGATATTGTTTTCTAGGATTGATCAAGATTTACATGGCTGATGTCGTTGATGAAGCTGAAGGCGTTAATTGATCCGAAACACGTGGTCTTATTGTACTCAGCAGTTTCCGTGTATATGTTTCATACTTTGAACTAGTTTTATTGAATTTGATTTTGGACTATGATAATGTTCACCTGTTGATGCTTTCATGTTAAGGTGGCGATGTTGTCTTAAGCTATATATTTACCATCAATTAAACAATTACCTGTACAAGCAATTAGATAGTGATATGTCAAATACATCCCGATCTCAAACAAGGTATATGGTACGTGTTAGTTCAGTTTCTGTTTGATATCATAATCAGTTCGTCTTAGCAGGTGATTTTTTTACTAAAAATGACAAACAGAAAGAGTCATTTATTTTACCGGTACAACGATGAGTGATACTATGTCCTTCTCCATGTCAAACGTCACGTCACGTGTGGTCCCGCCACTCCAGGTTGAGGGCGAGTTTACCTGAAGGTGTGGCGAATACTCGGTACTCCCAAGACACTTCGGTACATTCTGGGGGAACAGTTAAAACAAAGGTCTGGACCAACTACAACATAAACAGCACATTCATTCCGTCATAATTACAATATCAACATGGTTATTTCAGCGGAGCCAACAAGGAACATCAATGTGATAGATAGATTTATAAAGTAGGTGTAAGTGATGCATGTTATTAGATAATCTACTGTGATTCCAAAGTTAAAATAGGAACTTTACTGTTGATATGGAGACATTGATGCATCTATAATGCGATAGCGAAAGTAATTGTTGTGCATTATGTTTATTGAGTCACTCATTTTTGTTTTAAAAACTCATAATACTGGGTTTCAAAAGATGCAGGCTGTTTGATGCTTGTTAGTTTGCCTGTTCGTTCCATTGTTGTATACCTTGTACTCATACGAGAATGTGACATTATTTACATGGACTGACCAAGATTTGCATAGCAGGTGTCGTCGGTGAAGCAGAAGACACTTACTCTTGAGGAACACATTGGGCCTTATTCATGAAGCCGTTCTTATGCTCAAGCGTGAATTTTGTGCTCAAGCCTTATGTCTTGTTAAAGTTAGAAATCAATGAATAAGGCTGATTTTGGAAAAGATTTCAAACAAATTTGAAAGGACTTCAAGTCAAAGTTATAATCAAAGTTTATATTTGACATTTGTATTATTCTATATGACATAGGAGAATTATTGAATACGGCGCAGGTCTTATCATCTTTGTACTTTTTCCAGAATCTCCGTGTAAATCTTTCTTTTGTTGATATTTTGCACTAGTTTTATTGAATTGTGTTGACATGTCGGTATTTTCGTGGCTTTTTTAGTTGTTTTTGTTTACCTATGTCTGCATACCTGTATATCATTGTTCTTTAACACTATTCGATTTGTTGAAACGTTTAATGCTAATGACACAATATACCCCCAGAATCGTCTAATCGACTGTATCATGACAACCTGTTTTACTTAACTTTTGATGCAGTTAGAAAAAGAACGTATTTTACATATTTTCGTAGACTTAATATACAACATTTTAAAACCCAAGTAAGATATCTAGTATCAAATATGACAATCGGGACTCGAACCTTGGTCACACCAATTTGAAGTTCCCTCTCAGCAAATCTCTGTCCGAGGCAGCTTCGCTTGCCAAACCCGAAGGGGAGAAAGGCGAAGGAGCTGAGTATCTTATAAGTATCGGTGTCTGCTGTAGCTGTTCGTAACCATCTCTCTGGAATATATTGGTCACTGTCGACGAAAAACCGATTGTCTTGGATCATTGTTGGGCACGCTACCATTAATAGAGTCTGTGGAATGGAACGATATACGTTAAATGTCATTAATAGTTTAAATGGGATGAAATAGATCTAATTAATTAAATTAATATATGTATTATATAAATACTTAGTAAAGCACAAAACGAAAACATTAGCTGTGAAATGATCAAAGGACCCATCAACATATTTAGTGATAATAAGCATTTGTAAAAGTTTTAATGCTGCTTCACAGAATTAAACGCCTCAGTGTGGAGCATTAGCTCGAGCGTGAAGAGTACCAGCTTTTGCCTCCAAACAGGAATCAAAACCTTGTACTTACTTCTCTCTTACTACAGCTATATACCTTTCCATTAAAACTGGTACTAACTTTCTTCTCTCTTACTACAGCTATATACCTTTCCATTAAACTGGTACTAACTTTCTTCTCTCTTACTACAGCTATATACCTTTCCATTAAACTGGTACTAACTTTCTTCTCTCTTACTACAGCTATATACATTTCCATTAAACTGGTACTAACTTTCTTCTCTATTACTACATCTATTAAGCAGTTCATTAAATAAGCACTTTCTTCTGTCTCTCATTATCAAACGTCTATGAACCAGTTCATTAGATAAGTACTTTCTTCTCTTCCTCATTAACATACATCTATGAACCAGTTCATTAAATAAGCACTTTCTTCTCTCTATCTCTCTC